GTTGTCCAGATTTTCAAGAAGGGAAGGAAGAAGTACCCCAGAAACTACAGGTCTGTCAGTCTCACTTCAGTGCCTGGTAAATCATGGAAAAGATTATTCTGTGAAGTACTGACAAACACCTGGAGGACAACACTGTCATCAGTCACAGCCAGCATGACTTCATGAGGCAGAAGTCTTGCTTGTTGAACCTGATTTCCTTGTACAACAGGGTAACTCTCTCAATTGATCTAGGAAAGCCAGCAGATGTGATCTTTTTGGACTTCAGCAAAGCTTTTGACACTGTCTCTCATAGTATACTCCTGGACAAAATGTCCAACACACAGCTGAATAACTGTGTTACATGATGGGTGAGTAACTGGCTCACAGGTCAGGTACAAATAGTTATAGTCAATGGGGTTATATCAGAATGACATCCAGTCATTAGTGGGGTTCCACAGGGCTTCCTCCTTGGCCCAGTTCTCTTCAACATCTTCATAAGTGACTTGGACATGGGACTTGAAGGAACAGTAAGTTTGCCAATTACACAACATTAGGAGGAACTGTTGACTCCCTCAGGGGCAGAGAGACTTTGAGAAATTAGAGAGATGGGCAATCACAAATCACCACCAATCACCACCAGTGTGAAATTTAACAAGTGCAAGTGCCAGAATGTGCACCTGAGACAGGGCAACCCTTGTTGTTTGTACAGACCGAGGAATGAGAGGCTGGAGAGATGTGCTGCAGGAAGGAACCCGGGATCCTGGTCAATGGCAAGTTGACTATGAGTCAGCAGTGCCCTGGCAGCCAGGAGGGCCAACTGTACTGCATTATAGTCAATTGAGGGAGGTGATTGTCCCACTTTGCTCTGCACTTTTACAGCCTCACCTTGAATATTGTATGTAGTTTCGGGCATCACAATACAAAAAAGACATTAAGCTATTAGAGAGTGTCCAAAGGAGGGCCATGAGGATGGTGAAGGGTCTGGAGAGGAAGCCTTATGAGGAGTGGCTGAGGTCACTTGGTCTGTTCAGCCTGGAGAAGAGGAAACTGAGGAGAGACCTGATCTCATTGCAATCTACAACTTCCTAGTGAGGGGAAGTAAAGGGCGATCTCTTCACTCTCATGACCAGTGACAGGACTCAAGGAAATCGTATGAAGTTGAGTTGGGGGAAGTTTAGGCTGGATATCAGGAAAACGTTTTTCACCCATAGGGTGGATGGGCACTGGAAAAGGCCTCCCAGGAAAGTGGTCACAGCATAAAGCCTGTCTGAGTTCAAGAAGGGTTTGGACAATGCTCTCAGGCATATGGTGTGATTTTTGGGGTGTCCTATGCAGGGCCAGATGTTGGACTTGATTATCCTAATGGGTGCCTTCCAACTTAGCAAATTCTATGATTCTAAGATTTGGACAATGCATATCAGGAACCTGCCTGGGGGAATTGCTAGAACTGTCCAAAATTCCCACCTGGAGACCTTCTGTAAAATCAGGTAGCTGCCCTATGGTGAAGGTGGCCAGTGGTGCAGTAAGTCAACTGGTTAAAAGGAAGTTCTTTGTCTCCAATCAGTTATCTCATGTATGCAAATGGCTGGCTGGGGAATTCCTGAGCCACCTAGGAATTAACATCACTACGCTGATGTCCAACCACATCACAGTTATAGCTAAAGTGGAGGCTGGAATTTCAGCTTGTAACTCACTAAGATTCATAGCATTTACCACATACCAGAGCAATGAAAATGCTTCGGCATATGTAAGGTTAAAAAATAGATATACGAATTCAAGGAAAATATGATTAAAGTAAGAATAGACCATGATTATGTTGGGGTTTTTTATTCTATAGAAGATAGGATTTCCTTATCACTGGCAAGCAGGGTCGGTATATATTCGTAAGTGCAGAAAATTTCAAAACATGCATGCAGATTTGAACAGTACTTCCATTTCTCTCAATCTTGTATTATAAAACCACACTCCCAGAAAATCTGTTGTGTAGGCTAACATTTGTCTTCACCCTTGTCATGATGAATTTTTTTTGTTGTTGTTCATGCATTTTGGCATCCAGGCACAAAATACAGCATACGTGATGTGTTGCTAAAGACAGTCTTTGGAAGGATGGAATGGACAACTAAGCATTTCTTAGCATAAGAAACTTTTATCTTGCTTTTTGACCTGCTATTCTACTAAGATTTATTTTTGCTGACATATTTTCATATTAATTTCCTCTGTAACAGAAAAAAGAAGATGGCTAGAGAAGTAGTGTATTATTGCATTTATTTATAACATTCTTATGCATGCAATACAGTGAGCACTTAACAATTACTTGTTTGAGATCTAATAAAACTGAGCCCTGTTATATTAGTTCAGTCAAGTTTGTTGATATTTTTTTTAATCCTTACTTTATTTATTTTTTTTTCTGTCTTTTATTTATTTCCTTCCCATACATCCTTGTCTGCTTAGAAATTTGTGTGGATAAAATAAAAACCTGCTTTGCTGTCATTGGTTTATTCTCTTTCCATCTTGACAAGAACTGTGTAAAATCCAGCTAGAAGGCCAGGGGTTTTAAGCATACAGTGCCTCTTTCCCTTAGCCACCACCAGCTATATAAATTAATAAAAACAAAAACAAACAAAAAACACAAACAAACAAACAAACAAAAAACAAACACAAGAACTCCAATTATTTTCTACCTTCTCAGAGCATTAAACAACTTGTTTCCCAGGGCTGTCCTCTTACACAACCTTCATGTTTAGTTGTGTGCAATCTTTTTCTTCTACCTCCAATCGCTCTCCTTTCCTGTTTTCTTGACTGTAGTTTCTGTCACATAGAAACTCTTTATCTTGCTATCTTCAGACCATTTCAACTTTATGTCTGTTTTCCTAATTTCCAAAATTTTACCAAATATTTCTTTCTTTCATTTTCACAATAATTTTATAAATATTTTTGGTATGTGTCTGCAGTTTATAGCTCTCTGCAGCTGTGTGTTTCCTCTGGGCCTGTTCACCTCATGGTATCTCTATAATTCTGTTCTCTTAATTATATTTTAGAATGTAAAACCAACAGGAGATAAATTCTCCTCGGATGTTAGACAAAACCTGCCACAGATCTTACTAAAATTGCCTGCCAATAATGATTTTGCTGATAAGCCTCATAATTACTAGGACAATAGGCTGTTTTGTAACATGTGTAGAAAATTATAACAACCTGATTAATATACTGACAATGCTATGATTACAACTGCTTACATTCATTATGGAGGTTGGACAAGCCACCTAAGTGACTGACGAGTAAGTCAGTTATCAGGAGACTTCATGCTTTTCTCAAGGGCAAAATTATGTGTCACTTGAAGATGATTCCTTTCAGGGTGGAATTCCATGCACTTTCATACCTATGAATCCCACACACCAGAGCAGCTCAGTTACAATTTCCTTATTTGGGAAAATACTTAATCTCTTCACCAGAGAAGTTCTATTTGTTATTCTAGAGAAGCACAAGGATCATAGCTCAATTGATCCTGTTATGTCCACCTCAGAGCACCCAAACAGTTTAAACATGATTCAGCCTACTCAATTCTACATTAAGTACCAAATGTCTTGGAGAGTGATTGCATTGCAGAAGGCACAGGACTGCCAGTGTGGTTGTTTTTGTAATTAATCCCTATGGAAACAAAATGTTGCTATTTAAAATTTTGATCAGTCTAAGAAATAAATTAACTTTAAAAAGGAAAACTTTTCTTATTAATAAAATGTAGGCATGCAACATGATATGTAATGGAATTGGTATAAGTTAATTTATAGTGAATACGAAAAGATACTTCTTCAATAAGTGTAGTTCCACACTCAGATATGTAATAGAAAAAAGACTGTCCTTGACTTGCTCAATCAAGAAGCTGCATAATCATAGAATTACAGAACAGTTTGGGTAAGAAGGGACCTTAATGATCATCTATTGTAACCCTCCCCACCCCCTACCACAGGCAGGGACACCTTTCACTAGACCAGGTTGCTCAAGGCCCCATCCAATTTGCCCTTGGACACTTCCAGGAATGGGGCATCCCCAACTCTCAGCAAATTGTTCTAGTGCCTCGTTTCCCCCTGAGTAAAGAATTTCTTCCTAACATCTAATCTAAACCTCTACTCTTTCAATCTAAAACCATAACCCTTTGTTCTGTCACTGTCTGTCTATGTAACAAGTCACTCACTCTCTTTTTTTAAGCCCTCTCTAAGTACTGGAAGACTGTAATAAAGTCTCCCTATAGCCTTCTCTTCTCCAGACTGAATGATTCCAGCTGTCTCAGCCTGTCTTTGTAGGGGAGGTGCTCCAGACCTAATATAATTTTCTTGGCCCTCCTCTGGAGCCACTCTGACAGGTTCATGTCTTTCTTATGCTGAGGACTCCCTACCTGGGCACAGTACTCCAGGTGGTGTCTCACATAATGTCTGTGATTAGGACATCTGAGTTCAAATTTGATCTGTTAAAAATCTCCATTTACTTGATTTTCTTGTCAAGAAGCATAAGGACTGATTAGGATCATTTTCCCTACAAAAAAAGGAATGCTTTCTGTTTGACAGTTAGTAATACAAAGAGAGTTTGGCAATTAAGGAAGGATGTGCATGTATGACTCCTCTGTGTTACAGCACACCTGAGGATACGTTATGGTTTAACCCCAGCGAACAAGCAAGTACCATGCAGCAGTTTTCTCACCCCTCCACCAGCAGGATCAGAGAGATAGTTGGAATTGGAAGGGTAAAAGCTGGAAAACTCGTGAGTTGAGATGAAAAGAGTGTAATAGGGAAAACAAAAGCCATGCACACAAGCAAACAAACCAAGAAATTTACTGCTTCCCATGGGCAGGTAGGTTCAGCCATCTCCAGGAAAGCAGGGCCCATCATGCATGAAAGGTTACATGGGAAAACATATGTCTTCACTCCAAATGTCCCCCTCTTTCTCCTGCTTTCTCCCACTTCTTATGCTGAGTATCATGTCATATACTATGGAATGTCCCTTTGGTCAGTTGGGGTCAGCTGCCCCGACTGTATCTCCTCCCAGCCTCTCATATAACCCCAACTTCATCATCAGTAGGACACTATGAAAAGCCTGTGTAAGGCCTCTAAGCAGAAAAGGTTCTGTGTAAGCACTGCTCAGCAATACCAAAAACATCTCTTTATTATCATCACTGTGTTTAGCATAAATCCAAAACACGGTCCCATACTAGCAAGAAAATTAACTCTGCCCCAGCCAAAACCATCACAGGATATCTGAATCTGCAGCTTAGGCATTCCTCAACCTAAAATGTCTTGTACCAAAGGACTTCCTTGATGAAAAAAGAGTAGAATTAGCTGCTTTCAAACAGAGTGGGGCAACAACACTTTCAGAGCAGCCAAGCAAGAGAGTTTTTCATAACTTGCCATCAAAGTTTAGAAAGGTAGTGAAGCCATAGAAAAAGATATTTGCCAGATAGGAGAACAGCACAAATTTCACAGAGATGATATTGCACTGTAATGATAACTATAGCCTAACCACCTTTAATGGTGGTTAGAGGCTAAATTTAGGTTTCTAAATCAAGTCTTCCAGTGACCAATGGCCAGGGCTTGAACCACCTGTAACTCAAAGCTCAGTTCTTTGTAGAATGGATGTACAACATTCACCCAGTTTTATCACAAACATTGCAGCTGACAGACTACAGAATGTAAAGTCAGGCAAGATAAGTAGACTGAAAACACTGTAACAGAGGTGTTGAGATGGTAATAGCAACCCAGGGATCTAGAAAAGAAACACTAACACAGTGCATAAAAATCTGAGGTAAAAAAGAGCAGGGAGATGGGAGATCTCAACTTGGCAATATCAAGGGTTATGATATTCCAAAAAGCGATGGAAGCCAACTCTTTCTTGGATGACTGATAAGACCCAAGTGAACACTAGGCTAGAATAGGGAGAATATTAATGCTTAGCCCAGTATCTTGCAAGTCCTAGTTCTCAGCTGTATCAATCAGACAGTAAATACTTTGTGGGTGCTCAAGGGAATGTACATCTTGTTCTCAGAGTCTCTTTGTGCACAGCAAAATATGTCTGGAAAAAACTGTGGTTCATTGAGGAAAGATTGGACCAGGAGATTGCTTCAGAATTAGTCAAATCACTCTCCAGTGGCTTACTTTCAGACAGGTAAAATAGGAGTTCGGTACCTCTGATGTTTAGAGCGGCCTTAGCAGTGCTGATAAATCAATCGATACAACCAGCCAGTCAATGTGAGATCTTTTGTTCTTTGATATTCACATCTTCTAGTCTGTAGAAGTGTTTAAAAAATTACCTTACCACAGTTCATATCCTTGTGAGAGAGATTTTTACCCTTGTTGCCTTCTCAGGGAAAACATTGCTTTATTACTTGTTAGACCATATTGTCAATTTATTTTCTTTTTGGAAAGCTGAGTTGTGGATAGATTTATACTTTTAGGGTTTTTGCAAGGGAAAGATGAAATTCTTATTTTCCTGAGTAGCACCAGAAAGACAGGACTAAACAGGCAACACAGTGCTTATGCTTTCATGCAATCCTGTTAGTACCTTCCCAGTTAACTTGCCATGGATCTGTAGTGTTTTAAGTCAGCAATTGCTTAAAACTGCACACAATTTGGATTTATTCAATCTCACTTTAGTTTTCAAACTGGGATATTTGTGTTAGGAGTCTAGCTACTCAAAGCTCCCTCTAAACTTATTGGAGAGAAGTAGGTTCTCTACAGAATGATTCAGATCTTATCTAGTTTGAATTTCTCTCTTCAGGTGTCATTCTTTTAAGTACAGAAATAGCTTATGCCATTTTTGTGCCTAGGTTAGACTCCTTGGGAAGGTACCAGAAGCTAAGTGGAATGAATCTAGATTAAATTTTCTGACAAACAGATTAAAAGCTAAGGTCCTTCCAATGATATACATTATACCTGAAAGCTGCTAACTTACTGAGAGGGAGAATAAACATTAGATTTCCCTTCAAGTTTACTCCCTGATTTCTAGGAGCATATGGCCTGTTAACTCACCTAGCTGCAATTATATTCAACACTAACTTCTGTGCCTGTGTCACCCTGTCAACCAACAGATTAGTACTTTGCTGCTTGAAAGTTATGCTCTAATGGGCTATCAGTGTTCAGAAGACATTGTGTATAATCTTGCTCACTTCTTTTGCTATGAGTTGCAAAGTCATGCAGGGGCCTTAGTTTTGATTCTCCTACCCTAAGGTCTGAGCAGCTGACACTCTTAGCCATCTAATTCCATGAACAGAAGGAATGCAATCAGAACACAAACTGCCTGAAATAATGGTATGTTTCATCCGACTTACAAGATATGTGTTTCTACAGGTATTATTGCAACACTTCCTCACAGTGCTACAGTTAAAGTCAAAGTTTCCGAATGCAACACACATCCAGACAGCAGAGAATTGTGAAACAAAGTGAAGAAATATAAAATTAAAAAAAATAAATAGAAGTCCTTCCAGCTATAGTTTCTATATGTGACTAAAGATCTTTTGATCTAGAAATTATATAATTCTTTGTCAAAATTGGGGCAGAAATTCTACTTTGTTCAGATCTAGGACACAGAGTTCACACTGTGTAGTAACCACAAGAACTACAATAAATTATTGATGAGTAAAAACAGGATATTAATTCACAGAGGAGTAAGATATTTTTGTTTTTAACTTTATTTCATACTGATTATAAAATATCCTATATCATTTGGTATGAGCCTCATTAAATACATACATCCCATGCTTTGAAAACTCAAGCTTTAATGTTTTCCAGCCTCTATTTTGGCTTTAAATACTGGTAGTGAAATCAAGATACATGAATTATTAAGAGCAAGGATTTTGCTAAAATGACAGAGCATTCAGTCCATCTGTCTCACATTTTTAAGTCCTTTTATTCACACATTTTCCAAACTTACAAAAACAATTGACAGAGAGATTTTCAAATAAACTTTTTGTTTTGTCTTTCTGTATGTTTTGGTTTTATCATTTTAATTGTAGGTTCTTATCTGGACAGAAAAAAAAAAAATACAGAGAGAATAAGTATTTTGCACATTTTTTCTCTAGACCTTGGGAAATCAAGGTCCTCTGTCTATAAGAGTTGATGCTCATATTGCCCAGTTAGCTGGAAAATTCCTTAGTTACCAGACTTAAAAAACTCCCTCATTTTTTGTTTCCCTCTTCAGCCTTCCTCCTAGATTTGCATTAGAAAATGAAAGAAATAATTATGAGGCAAGAAAAAAATTCACAAAAGTCTGATTCTGCAACCTAGTAAGATATCATTGTCACTAAGATGGTAAAGTTTTTGGATTTTGCTTCAGTGCTACTTACTCATTACATTTAGTTAACCTTAAATGAAAATTCAGCAACCATTATTATGTGTTTCCTAGCCCATACTTTATAGTACTGAATTTCTGTCTAAAGTTAGACTTACTATCTAAAGAGAATCTGCTGTCACTGTCCAGAGCTGTTAAAATTAATGAAGTCCAGACAGGCTAGTTGGGGAAATAGACTTGAATTTCATTGCCACTGAGAATATTTCAATCAAAATAATAAAACAACTGCCATTTTCAACAAGCAATAAAGGAATATAGTGAAATCACATAATTGAAAAATATTCAGGCCAGAAGGGACTTCTTGTTATTTAGTCTAACATCCTGTTCAAAGCAGGACTAATTAGGTCAGGCTGTGGTCACAAGGCTTGAATACCTCCAGGGCTCAACACACCCTCCACTCCTCTCTGGGCAACTTGCACCAAGATTTGGCCATGCACACAGTGAAAACAAAACACCATATCCAATCAGAATTTCCCATTTTCTAACTAATATCCTTTGCCTCTCACTATATCACAGGGCATCCCCATAAGGTTGCTCCACATACTTTGTATCCTCAGATCAGGTAGCTGCAATGAGGTCTCCCTGAGCCTTCTTTTTTCTATGCTTGATTAACCCAGTTTGCTCAGCTTCCCCTTGTCTGTCATGTGCACCAGCCCCATGACAGTCATGGTGCTCTGTGCTGGACTACCACCAGGATATCCATGTCTTTTTGTAAAGGGTAGCCCAGGTTCTGTGAAAACACAACATTGCTGTCATGGTCTCACCAGTGTTGAATTGAGGACAAGGATCACTTCTCTCAGTCTGCTGACTACAGTCCTGTTAGTGCAGCCCAAAAGGCAATTTGCCTTTGTTGCAAGGATGCACTGCTGGCTCATCATCTTCTTAGAGTCTACCAGCTTTTGCAAAGCTGCTTTCCAGCTGGTCAACACCCACCACACACCCAATAACTTGTGTAATAACTTGGGTTTATTCCTCTCGAGGTGCAGACTTTTGCATTCACTTTTACTGAACTTCCTGAGGTTCCTGTTTTGCTTAAAATGGAAGAAAAAAATCTCTGGACAATATTAAAATAGAAAAAATGGAGAGCAGTCTTTAATTAAAGTGTACAACACAGCATTGGGCTTCTACAATTTCATAGTTCTAATTAATTATCATATCTAATGGATATTTCCAACCCAAAATTTGCCTGCCCCCCAGAACCTCCCTCAGGTCCACTCCTCGACATGCCTTCCCGGAATTGAGTCAGAGATCTCAAGACTCCTTTCTGCATCACTGTCATGGTTTGAGATCTTCAAAAAATCTAATTCCCTAGTCTAAGCCCCCTCCCCCATCTCAACTTAACGTGAGATGGGTTTTCCAGACAAAACACACCAGACTCCAAATGGAGGAAAGGGAATATATTACAATGACTGTACAAATAAATATTATAATACATTATACACACGATCACAACTATCTCTACAATGACATAAGTATTTACAATGGATCATATCTCTTCTCCCCTCCAAATAAAAGTCCAGGAGGGAAGAAGGACAGATCCCTTCCAGTCTCTAAGCAGGAGTATCTTCTACAGCAGCAATCTGTCTTCTTCACATGCAGCAGTTGATAGTTGGATTTCTGCCAGCACTCACGAGGGGGTATCCCCCTTGGCCCCTTGACGCAGGTAAAGGGGTCTTCCGTGGGCTATGTCACCCCAGACAAAGGTTGTTCCACCATGGTCATATCACGAGCCCAGGGGGGTCTTCGTGATAGTCTGGTATCTTCAGGGGACTCATCCCCTTGCAGAGTTTCTGTGCCCTGCCTCAGGCTGCCACCTTTGCAGCAGTGGTCCTCTCGGAGCTCTCTAGCTCCTTTCTGCAAGTGCTGTAGCACTCCAAGGCTCCTCTCCTTAATAGGAGTCCATCTGCCTCCTTTCTCAGAGGTCTCAAAGGAGCTGGGGGGGTCTGGTTCAGTTCTTACCCCCAAAACTCTGTAACTGCTGCTGACTCTTTTTTTCTCGGCTCTCCTTCCGGGAGTCCTCTCTATGGTGCTGCATGCCTCTGTTGCTTTGTCTTATCTCTTCTGACCCTGTGCCACCATTTCTCCAGTCAGTGCTGGTCTGTCGCTACTCCTGCCGCTGCGCACGGTGGAGAAAACATCTCCCAGCATAACTACAGGCACCTAGCCCAGCTTTATGCTGTTCCAGGTCCCTGCAGCTCCCCCAGCCAGGGGCTGGGGGGTCCCAAAGGCCCCAAGGAGCTCCGAGCTCCCTTCCTTGTGGTCTTACAACATGGCTACCACTTCTACAACCAAACTACAACTCTTCTTCTTCCAGTCTGGTTGTGGTATGTTTATATTTCACAGGAGCGCAGATTGGTTCGATCTCAAGTGTTACCACCCCTTGGGGGTTACCACTTCTTAGCTTCAGGGGGAAAACCTGGTTCAAACTACTATAATCACCACCATCTCCCTCAAGTCACATCTCTTCTTTGGAGCTTCTCCAAGGTCTCCAGGCCTTCTAGGTTGCTTTGTCTACAATGTTATCTTTCTGGGTAGATGTCCCACGCAAGATGTACTCACCAAGGTCTTTTCTCTGAAGAGAATATTAAACAAAACTGGAAGAATTTCGGGAGTTTGATATGAAGCATTAGAAAAGAGTTTTAGTGAACTGCTGTTCTAAAGTGTTAGAAATTATACAGCTATATTAAAAATCTATATGTTACAAAATCTTGAGAATCCTAAGGCATCACCTGTTAGCCCATTTCTCCCACCTATCCAGGTCCCTCCCTATAACAGTTGTGCCCTCTGAGTGCTCTTCCCTCTTTGGGGTTGTTTGTAAATTTACTGAGAGCACATGCTGTCCCATCATCTAGGTTGTTATAAAGATATTAAGATGCATTTGTTCCAGTACTGATTTATGAAAGACACCACTAGCTGCTATCCAGTATCTGCACTAGCCACCAGTCTTCGATTCCGGCAGTCCAGTCATTTTTCTATGCACCCTTCTGTCTACCCCATATCTCAAAATTTCAGTGCTAAGGAAACCATGATGGACTGTGTTAAAGATCTTCTTAATGTTTCTGGGGCTTTCTCTGCCCCAGAAAGCAGTTAGTTTGACCAGGCATGAGTTACGCTCGGTACATGCATGCTAGCTGCTTCCAGTTACCTTATTGTCTATCATGTGCTTAGAAATAGCTTCTGATAGGATTTACCCCATAACAAGTGAGGTGAGACCTTTACCTGAATCGTTCTTCTAGAAGAAGGATATGATGTCTGCCTTTTTCCAGTCATCAGAAAACTTTCCAAATTTCCATTACCCTTTGAAAATTATAAGGTTTACCCCTCAGCAACATCAGCTAGCTCATCTGGTACCCTTCGATACATCCCATTTGGACTTACAGGCTTGCTTATGTCTAATTGTCTAATACGTAAAAACTAGAAATGAGAAATCTATGCTAGGACTATCTCTGGAGATGTATGAAGGCAAAAATAAATATAAATTAAAGCATTTGTTTTAAATCTAAGCATGTCCAATTTTGCTTATGAGCTAAAAAGTTGTTCTAAACATTATTTTGTTTGAATGGCCTATAGCTGATCTTTCTGCAGACATCTTTTAGTCCTCCCAAGTAGAAAGGAAAGTTCTGTCTAAATGGGAATTTCCTACCTGTCAAAATTTGGATGATGACAGAAAATATATTTTTCAGCTAAGCTTTAAACCATTCCCAAGCCTTTAAACAGCTCTAGCTTTTATACCATGTCATGCTACTATTCCATTCCTTCCTCTATAACTTTTTTTTCTTATGACATTCCCAAGTATATAAACTATTCAGCACATTTTTTTTTGGCTTTGAGGTGTACTGATTTGAAAACTCTGGTTTTAAATCTTTTTCTTTTACATGTCTTTTAGTCATTTTTATAAATTTTGGCATGCTTTCACTAGGTCTTAGATTAATCAAACACACTTTCTAAACTTTTATATGCAAACCAAATCAACAATGAACTCTGCAATAAATTGCTATTTGAAGCAATAACAGAATTAGAATTATTGTATTAGAATAATTTTTATATTGCATCAATAGACATCTACAATGAGAGACATCTTTTTAATTCATGTCATTGTTATCAAAAACATTCCAAGCAAGTGACTTAATTCTATTATTCCAGTTTTGTGGCCAGATTTGGTTTATTCAGTCAGGGAAAACTAAATTGTTTGTAATGTTGATTTATTTTGCACAAACCACTTTAATTAAAGTGATGTAATCTTTGAAAAGTAAGGAGCTATTAGACTGCATGCAGAAAAGGAAGGGTAAAGCATTTTGCTCTCTAATCAAATGTTGGGAAAGGACATAAGTTTTGCCTTTGAATTATCAAGTAGAAGTTTGTAATTAAGTGTGAAGGAAGAGAGAAACAACAGTTTATTTACAGGCAATTGCATTGTTTATTTTCTGTGAGAACATAGCTGTGAATTATTATCTAGTTGAGAGAAAAACAAGGATTAGTAGTATGTAGACACATGTAGGTATTTAACATGATTAAATTCTCATCTCTTTTTTCTGTAGCCTAGTAAATATGCTGATTGCTCTTAGCAGGGGATGGCCCAATTGTGTATTATTGTGGCAGTGCAGGAGCTCACCCTCACCCTAGACCTCATCTGGGTGTTGCTGGTTTAACTCCCTGTGCTGGGGCCAGTGACTACTGCCTATGCTGCTCCAGCTTCAGCCCTGGAGTGACCCTGCTGAGAAAGGGGTGATACCCTCCCCCCTCTCCATCACTGCCTGAAAAACCAAAGCCCTTTGTGTGCCTAGGGCTGGAGGGACTTCAGCTGGTAGACAAGGTGAAAGATGCAAAATAATGAGAAAATTTACAAAGATGACCAAGCATGACCAAGGCCAGGGGGGAAGGGTCCACCCATCATCATGCCCCTCTCATGTACTTCATTATTGCATATAATAATGTTTGGAGTATAACATGTCATACCTAGTCACACAGAAGGAAGTGCTTTTAAGCAATATCATTTGCAGTTATATTTCATATGTTTCATCATCCCATGAGTAATCTTCAAATTCCTATTTCACAATTCATTCTCTGTTCTTTTTTGAGACTAAGAGGCCGAGGTCTACCTGCAAAATAGAGGTAAGATCCTGGGATAGGTTTATATGAATATCTACATGAATATATCCTGAGTTGATTCCGGTTTTTTCTGCATTGGTACATGAAGTGAAATGAAGACAATTTTTAGGTATGGTCAGACCATGTCTCTCTGTCCCTGCTCCTGGCCCGTTGACATTAAGACTTGAGTAATAATTTATTGACATAGTTAAAAGTGAATTTAAAGTATCTCAATAATTCTTGATGATTTGTTATTTCTCTTAGAAGAAGTCTTTTGGCTTTCTTTTTAGAGATTCTACTTAGAGTCATTGGGGAATATTTAGCTGTAAGAAAAATATTGCACAGCTCACACCAAGCACAGAGATGTTGTTTTTACTAGATTTCTGTGGCTTCTTTATGTATTCACATACAGATTTTGTTCCAAAGAAAACCAGGACTCCTCACGAAAGAAAGAATGTGCCTACATTTCTTATTTCGACTTCACAGAATCATTTAGGATGGCAAAGACCTCTTGATGTCATTTTGTATAACCTCCAGCTCAGGCAGGATCATCTGCAGCAGAATATCCAGTTGGATTTTTTAATAACTCCACAGATGGAGACCTCCACAACTTGTCTGGACAACCTGTTCCAGTGTTTAAACACTCTAAAGGCATGAATTAAAAAAAAAAAAAAAAAAAAAACAACAAAAACAAACAACAACCTGTTTTCCTGTGTTCAGATGGAGTTTGTGTTTTAATTTTTGCCCACTGCCTCTTGTTCTGTCAGTGGTTATAAATGAGAAGAAGCTGGTTCCCTCATCTTCGTTTTCTCCCAAGCAGGTGTTCATACACATTGACAAGATCCCACTTGAGCCTTCTCTTTTATAGGCTGAGAAATCCCTGCTGTCTCAGCTTCTTATGTGACAGATGCACACACACCTTCGTCGTTGACTCTAGGAAATTAAATAGAATTAATTAACTATAAAGAAAAGTGACACAAAGCCATTTCATTGGTGACTAAAAGTAGTAAAAAGCAAGGTTAAGAGTATTTTCTTGTTTGAAATGGGAGGAATACTGAATAACTTTTTTCTCAGGAGTAATAAGAGCATATGTACAACAATAAATACAAGTTGTTGTATATTAGTCCTTCTTTTAGACAGAGAGACAACACCTACCAGATGATAGACAGTCAGCTGAAACTGAATTTCTGGAATCATGGATTGATCAGGAAAAGCTATTAGTTCAACCTGAAAATCAGTGTCTTTAGGTATATTGCAAGGTCCCCAAACTGTCATTAATGATAGTGTACTTTTGTTTAAGAATGAAGAGTACCCTGTTATTGACAACTGTAATATCATTATATTTGCTTTTTAAATAGGTAGTATGATACTGAATTATTACAGGTCTTTTATTATTGTGTATTATTGTAATACATAAATAAATCACACGGACCCGGCCAGCTCCTCTTATTTAAATCAAACACCACCTTATTAATGCATGGGTTCAAAGTAACACGTGACTTTCTTAACCAACCACCAAGGGCATCTCATTGCCCATGAGTGGGAGTACTTCAGGACTTCATTTCCCAGGATGCCTCATCCAGCATCCTTCCTGTAACCCGACTCCTACATTTTATAATCTTATATGGTAATTGCTGTACAGACACACACAAAGCAATTTCTTCATTGTCACTAGAATTTCTGTCATTGTAATATTTTGTGATAGTTTTGAAATTCTGGCTATACTTAGGTATGCGTTTGTGAAAAGAAAACTGATGACAGTAGAGAACATGAGTTAAATAGACTTCAAATAAATATCAAATAGAATTTTAAGTTTGATCTGAACTTTTAGAGAATTCTGCTGAAGATCAAATATTAGTATTCAGTAGAATTGAAGCAAAACAATCAATGCAAAGATCATTTCTCACTGACTTTAAAAAAAAAAAGCGTAGTATTCTTTAAATGTTTTGTTTGCATTCATTGTTAGACTACAAGTTCTTATCCTCTCTCTTTTATGCTTTTCTTTCTCAGCTGCATGAGTTTGAAAGACATAAAGAAATTGTATATTTACAACAAAAGAGTGCTATTTCAGTCCTATTTGGTGATATGTAATTTCAAAATGCTTGTATTTCTCTGCCATTTCTCATATTAGCATGGGCTTTTTCCCCTGCAAAGTGACAAAAAGGTTCCATAGGTGTTTTTCTTTTCAACAATTTTCTTTTCATCCTACCGTATTCCTAGTTTTTAATTGGAAAATCAACAGCAGGCATGCTTTCAGTAAGGTGGATGTATTGATGTATATGATGTTATTGGTATTTCTTTTTATCTTACTAAACAGAATTTTAAATTACAAAATAAATGTATGGCTAAGGCATCTGAACATCATTCATGTTCGTATATTTCAAGTGTACTCAAATTAAATAGGTGCACTTATTTAAAGAAAAGTGCTTTTTATGGGGTATGTTAGATTGCCAAAATCCATATGCTGCATCTGTACCTTGTAAAACAATCACCAGTAAACTGTGATTAATGTGGATGTATAACCTACCTCTAAAGCTCCGTCTATATGGTTTCAATATGAACAGGTAAATTACTAGTTGATACAGTACCAAAGAACTGATTGCACTAGTACTTAAAATGTATGTATACTGGAAAATAATCTTTTTCTAGTTTATGGTAACAATGTTTTCTAAGGAAAAATTGCCTACCTGGAATGCAGAGATGTTACAAAACAGACAACCGTGTTTTCTATTGTGTAGTCAGCAGCAGCTTGTAGTCAGCAGCAGCTTGTATTCAGCTGCAAATGTTCTGAATTGTGCCAATAATTCTATGGTTGAATAATTTTAGTTATGGAATGCCGAACAAGATTTAAATACTGCTGCAATGATATTTTTAGATGCTAAATAACACCCAAATGAGAAAAGAAAGAGGAAAAGAATGACATGTTGGTTAATGATTTCAAGGAGATGAGCTGTTTCAAAGCAATACTTTTGATTGTTATCAAAGTAGAGCATTCTGTGGATTCTAGACATTAACATGTTTAAAGTATAGACTGGCAATTAAGTCTCTGTTCCATGTAACTGCTTGTGTCAAGCACAGATACAACTTTATTCCCCACAGTCTATACCAGGGATGCCATTAATTTTTTTGTCTACATGTTGTAGTAATCTTTGAGACTGCTATAAAATTTTTCCTTGTATTTCAAAATAATAAATCCACCCTACAACCAGGTCACAGAGTCCTTCGTATAAGGAAAGGTATTCTATCCTGTAAATGTAGCCTATTTTTTGTTGGCTTTCTGTTTTCTTCCATGTGTTTGTATGAAGCAGGTATGCCATCTAAAAGCACACACTGTGCCTCAGGTAATTCATGTAATTTTGTATCAGAAACATCCAGTTTCCAAATTATCACTCTTCCAAGATAATAGAAATGTTCTTATACCGATTTGCATGTTTGCTTTCAGATTACTCTGCCAAAATGCTTTCCTGATAACTGTAATATAGCTAATATGATTTCTGATAACTGTAATATAACTAATATTTATTTTCATTGCGTTATACCTAGTTACATAAGGATAATATTTGGTACTTGTACACAAAAAATGGACAGATCTGATTTTACTATAGTTTCAAATTATTTGCAAAATATTTGCAAAATTAAAATTTGCATAGGAAGAAGATATAGAATCACATGATCAGAGAATTATTCAAACTGGAAGAAAAAATTATTCAGGTTGCTCAAAGCAGGACTAATTTGGTCAGGCTGTGTGGTTTGGGACCTACTCCACTCTCTCCGCAGAGTTCTTCCAGCTTCCCCTTGTCTGTCAGGTGCACCAGCCCCATGACAGTCATGGTGTCCTGTGCTGGACTACCCCCAGGATGCCCATGTCTTTCTGTAAAGGGTAACCCATGTTCTGTGAAAACACAACACCACAGTCATGGTCTCACCACTGTTGAATTGAGGACAAGGTTCACTTTCTTTACCTGTTTGCAGATCTCCTCCTAGTGAAGTACAGAATACACCAGTGCACATTGGTGGCTTATGGTCAA